AGGCATCTTCTAAGTAGACATGTATTTACAGCTTTGGTAATATATATGTATTTCAATAGCAGTGGAGTAAGAACAGAAACAGTGAGGTGAAAAAATGCACACAGACATTCCTAGTAAGAAATAACTTCCAGTGATTTGAAACATAGTTCAATTGTCTCTGCCATAAATTTGAGAATAAGTGTCATATATGGGTGATAAAAATGGCATAGGCTATTTTTTATATACTCATTATTCACTTAGTTTGTCTTTTTCAATTAACGTGGAGTCTATCTTTCTCATCTGACTGGGTTTACGCTTCTTTCATAATCATATGTCAACAAAGCACAATGGATGCAGAATAATGTGGCATACAGTGTAAATCTTTAGGTTAATCCTTAACATTTTTTATTATGGTTCATATGGAATCACTTTGTAACTTGATCATGATTTGTACTGGTGTGGTTTTTTTCATGATATGCTTAATATGTTACAGCTTGATCTTTTCTCACCTCTCTAATGTAGAGAGAGGATGCTCAACTACTCAGCCAAGGAGATTAGATATGTTTTCAGATTAGGTATCCTTGATTATACTGTTTTTTTTTTCTTTAACTTCTTAAAAGAGTTGTCTTACCTGTTTACTTCATTTGAGGAGTCTTAGCAGTTTGGGTGTACTTCTGCTGTCTGAATCACTAACAAAGCCATTGAGCGTCAAAGTTTGTCATGATTCTCGTGCTGTATGTGGCAACATGGCGAAATAGCCTTGCTTTTGGGGATTTAAGGTATAGCAGTTTATACAGCCCTCCCTTTCCAGGATTTTGTACTAAAAGGAATGGTCAACTACTTGTTAGTCTGGATCAATGTGAAATTTTTAGACATTTTAAGAGTGTCAGTCGCTTTTATTTTATATCAGTGTTCTGTTTCTGTAGAGGTATATATCTCGATTTTTAAAAGACACTGCAACTGACTCTGGAGAAAGACTTTTAAATATAGTTGGGAAGGAAGGGGGAGAGCAGAAGCAAAATCCTCATATTTCTTGATTCAAGAGGACAGGCAGTCACAGATATTACCTGATAATTTGTATTCAGACCTGTTCCCTATCAATGAATTGCACAGAAACTTTGAAATCAAATTAATTAATTGCTTTCTAATGCCAGCCCAGGTAAAGCTGAAAGATACGAGGCAGTTTGTATCTTTGGGCACCTCTGGACAGTGTGTGCACACAAATGTGCCTAGCTTGCAGCTACTTTCCCAAATTCTCTGGCCTGCCTTTCGAAATTCTCTGGCTTGCAGCTGGCTCCTGGCTCTCTCAATTCTTGAGGCAGAGGAGAGAGATGGGAAGGGGCTGGTGGCTGGAGGCGTTGTTCATCCCTTGCCGTAGGACGCATGCCTGCCCAGCCCCAAAATGGACGCATGCCCAGCCTGCCTTCTCCTCGGGTCACGGGCAGGGAGCTGCATGCCTGCCTGACCGTCTGAGTGGAAACACGCCTACCTCACCGCCATCTGCAATTGTCTCTGCCATTTGGGTGGCGTGAACTCGTCAGGAGATGGAGAAGTGGCTGACTTTTTGATAACGTGAGGGACAACGTTTTGGTTATCTAATGGAGGAGTGGAGAAAGGAGGACCCAGGGCAGCGTCTGAGTGCTTCTATGAGAGTCCGTTTGGCCCACCCTGACACAAAAATGAGGTGGTTCTGTCCTAAGTATGTTTTTTTTATCAAGTGTGACTTATGATCATGATATTAAGCCCCGTAAACAACAGAAGTGTTATGATTTGTTATGATTAGCACTCTTTAATGCAGCGCTTGCTTTGGGCTAAAACTTTACAATGTTCTTGAAAAAGCCCATCTGCGTGGTTTCAGCTGCCATTAAAGAAAATAGCCCCGAAGACTTAAAACAATGAAAAACTTGCAGTGTTGTCGGTTTATAATCATTGGAGTAAGGAAAACCACAAAATGTTTTGACTATGAAAAGCAAAATAAATCTTAGCTTTTTTCCTTGTAAAAGGAATGTAGATGAAAATTAAATTAAAAGGGCCTTTCAGCTTTTGACTGTTGCATGAAATGGCAATTCAGCTTTGAACCGTCTGAGCCGGTTGGAGCGGACAGAGCTAGACTGCAGCGTGATTTCCCTTTTCTGTCAGTTTGTAACCTGTATTGACAGAGCAATTTGTGAGCGGATCGTATCAATCGGATCTTTCCATTCAGCAGCTATTGTTCAGTTCTGGAGGCAAATAATTTCTCTGGGGCATGATTCAGACAGAGTTAAAATCATGAGCTGTAAGAAACAGAGCAATAAATATGGGTATTCAAGCTATCTATCAGGCAGTCTTAACACACAAGCTTACAAAAAGTTAAGAGGTGTTGAATATCTTTCCAAAGTTTATTTCTCTTCGAAAGTTTAGTATTTTCAGTGGAAACAAGCTGAGTCTCTGCAATGTGTGATACTAAATAGCTTCTTAGTTTGTTGGAAACAAACAATTTATGGAAATAGATAATTTGTTTTGTTTGTTGTGTGGCAACTGATCAGTGAAAGTGCTTTTAAGTCAGAAATCTGTTCAAAGAGGTTTTCTTTTTGGAATCTGTCTCTTACTACTTTTCAAATTCCTCAATGGACCAACTGCTACTGCTGCATGAAAGAAACACATCTACACTCAAGTGCTTGTGACCAGTAGTTTACACTTTCCTTTTCTGTATAGCATTAAACTAGCAGAAGACAGAGCAAGTTTCGGATCATCCTGGAGAAGGAAGAGCAAGTAAGTGACTAGAACAGTGGTGAGAAATAGGTAAATTTTGCTGCTTTTGTCTGAAGTTCGCTGTATGAGACTTGCATGTGTCATACTGAAGTCCTGAGTTCTGCTCTCATTCCAAGGTAAATCACTTTGTGGAATGTCACAGAAATTGCGTGAACATTCCTTCATGTTAAGCCAGTGATGCAGCTCTCCAACATAATCTGAGGATTGCTCCTTCCATACTCTTCCATAGTGTGGAAGTACAGATAGTGAAGAGATGATCGTAACTTGGATAACTTCCTTGCTTCTTGTCCGGTGGAGCTTAGGGTAAGTTACTCATCTTGTGCATCTGGCACATCCTGGATGGATTTACAATGCTGGATCAGAAGGTGGCTTGAGCAAGATATGTAACATCCTGTGTAATTATGAGCAGGTAAGAAAGTCTATGATGCGGTAATGTGTAATTTTCCAAGTATATTGCTTCTTTCGCATCCCATTGAAGATCATGTGTACATCAGGTCTGTCTTCATATTTTTGGGTTGTGATGGATCAAGCTGTGTAGTTTCTCTGGACATACAGAAGGAGTAGTATTCCATGATGAGTATGGTGCATTCTGTTTGGGGCTGCCTGAGCTCACAGGACTTGTTTTACAATCTCACAGGAGAGGGAAGGCATCCCACGGATGTCTTCTCTGTAACTGATGCTGCTGCTATTTAGAAACAACAAACTTATCAGGAGCTTGTGCATGCTTGCTCTCTTTCCATCTCTCCTCCCCCTTCTCTCTTGCAGCTTATTACCTGCTTTTACTGAGAATAGATGGAGCATGTAATTCAGCCCCGTACCTCCATGGTTGAAATTTCTGGATTATTTCTGCTATTTAAGTCCAGACTTTTCCAGAAAAGAACAGATTGTGTTAACAATGGAGTTAGTCCTCCAGTTTTGCTATCTACAGTATATTCTAAGCCAGAAGTGGTAACTCTTGCTTCTGATAACATAATTAAGGAGTATATGGGGAAAAAGAAACCAAGTTATCTCAACATCTGTGCTTGAAAAAAGGTTTGAGAGTCAGTCAAAACTAAAGACGACTGCGTTCTCAGCTGGGTTTTGAGCTTTTGCAAGAAGTGAAGAAGCCCACTGAGTTTAAATGAAGACTGCTGAAGCAAAGTTCTGTGATTAATTAGCGTCCAAAGATTACTGTGCAGGCATTGCTCCTTATTTATAAACATGACTAATTCCTCAGAGCTTTTGCGTATTGCTGCCTGGGTAGAACTTTGAAGCTGCTGTCTAATTTTTGAAATAAATACGTGAAAGTATGAAGGAACAAATATTTAATCAGCCTGTCCCTCTCAGAGTGGAAGGTTGGCCTGTACTGGAAAATCCTGTTGGAGTTTCATTGAGGGAAAAACTGTTGGTGGTTTTGGTTTTCGCCCTTGGTGGTATAAGTATCGGGTCTTTTGACCTAAGGGAGGTTTTGTGAGTGGCCAATGTCTTGGGATCATGTGGATCTTCGTTTGCCCGCCTGATCAGAAATTACAATAATTGGAATTTATGAAGATGTATAAATTTTCTGTGGGTTAGGACAAAATGTTTCCAGGGATGCTGGGTTTACGGCATAGAGGCTGTTGGGGGTGTGTCCGGAGGATTCATTAATACACATGCTAAGTGCCTTTCCTTCTGTCCGTTTGAAGAAGGAATACCGTGGGACTGAGCGTGGGTCCCCTCACTTCAAGACTGCTTTGAAAAATGTGATGGGAAAGCTTCTCTGTCTTTTGGGGAGGGGGATCAATATAATTCTTCAGAACTCTGAAACACTTTGCAAAATGAAGACTTTGCCACATTTTGTGATGACAGCAAGCCAATCTAAACATCTGAATAATAATCTGGTAAAGTATTTATAAAGAATGAAATCTTTGTAATAACAGTGAATGTTTATTGTCCATACAACTGAAAAATTTAAGTTAACAAGCATGGGTTTTTTTGGTCCTGTTTCTACTTTTCATTTTTGAGGATAATCAAATGTTGATTAGTAACTGTAAGAAAATTTTACAGTTAGTTTTGGCAATTGTTTTTGTTAACCATGAAAACATACCACTGGAGGAGTTACACTCCCCCAGGTTCTCAGTCAATGCATTGTTTTTATCCTCTGGAATGGGTATTTACTATATTACAAAGAACCGTGGTAACTTTTATGGAATGCTTTGATTCTACATGACTATATAAACATATGTTCTCGGTAAGAATAAAAAAATACAATGCAAGTTAGAGCCTTTGTTTGTGATTCTGCAAGTGCAGGTATGCTTAACTTCAAGTACACGCTTGGGCTCGACTCCTTTGGTATGTTTATTGTGCCTACCTAATTGTTTGCAGGATTCAGGCTTTGGATATGAACTTTTAGTCAAGTAGGGAGTTCAGAGACAATGTGAGAACATTTGAAAATACTGTAACCAATAAGTGACCTATATTAGTAGCTGGGTAGGTGTTACTGCTGAAATAATGAATTGCTCAACCATTTTTGTAACTTGAACTTCTGAAATAACATGACAGTAATACATGCATAAAGAATATTTCCATGTTTTAGCTTTATCCCTTACTTTAGGTGATGGAAAGTAATTGTTGTGGTGCTGCAATTTATTAGGACTTATGTGGCGTAATTAAGTGAGCAAGAATCAAATGTCACCACAGGATTTGCTGTGCTAAGCGTAAGTAGATCAGAGAACAAATGTATCCCATTTAGAATCTGAAATGTCCGTTAACTATGTTGTGTGTAGGCCTGAAAATATTTTTCTTATTTTTTTCACAGCAGTATCAGGACAAACTAATGACAGCAATATTTATCTTTTTTTGAAGTGTATTGTTTTTTTCTTCTTTATTTAGATGTTGACACGTTTATTTCCCAGACGCTAAAAGGAGAAAATCTATCCAAGAAAGCAAAAGAAAAAAGGGAAGTTCTTCTTAAGAAGATAAAAGATGTTAAGGCAAGGTAAGTGAACTTCATGGCTTTAATATGTTATAAAGTCACTTACTGATAACTTAGGTTTTTACAATCTTTTAATAACCATTAACAATATTAACAATTAAAAATCTGTCTAGATCCTGATTTTTGTCAAATAATCTGCATGGATTCAAGTAGCTGCTACAATTTAGTAAGAAAAGGGAACAGAAGGATTTGTCCCATTTGACTTGCCATAATGTTCTGAACCCTCATTGCAAGCTGGTTGGGTAGAGCTTGCCTTCACCTCTGCGTTGGTAAGATTCATTAAAATATGAGAAATAGACTGCATTGGTGATAGGAATGAGCATACCACCACGTCACCATACTCGGCTGGTGTAAAACAACATAATTCAGTGCTGACTTTGCTTTACTGTGTATTCTGTCATTTAGGTGTGTCTGTCATAGAAAATTGAAACATGACTGGAAACTATAGATCATAAGTCTGTTTCAGCAGTGTTAAAATAGTGAAGTGCTGTGACAGACTAAGTAGAAGCCTGTGTGATTTTTTTTTTGTTTGTTTTTTTAACATCAGGTATGATTTGAGCCTCTGTTGCATTTTAATTTGTCAGACATACAGCTGAAGAGATTTGGCTGTAATTTTATTTGTGCTACAAAATTTTCTTTGCAGTAATATCTTTTTTTACAACTCTAATCAACTGGGATATAATCTAGTACTTGCTGCTGTTCTCCCACTGTTTTTTCCAAAGTGTTTTTCTGCTGATTGCTCCTGTTGGATATCTCCTAACCTTTGCTTTGATGACATGCTCCTGCCTCTGTGGCAACTTGTTTGCAGTTTCAAAGGCAGCACGATCATCTGGTGAGGGCATCATTCTTTGTATCACATGGACTGCAGGAAGACATGAGATGTGTCCCACAATCTTGTAACTGAACATTTGTGTGTCTTTGATTCAGACTGTAAATGCTTAGGGAACTACTTTTTTTATTTTTTTTTTATTTTTTTTTTTCCCCTTTTCCCTTGTGCTTCTGGGTTATTGAGCTAACTGGGACTGTACAGGTGACTTGCAGATACAACACTACTGACTTTTTTCTTTGGTCTTATGACTTAGCCATGTTGTTTTAGATGATGAAATATCGAAGGAGGGAACTTGCATTTATGAGCGCAGTTGACACTGAATCCTTTGCTATTCACTTACGTGACCCGGTGATTCCAGATCTTATTTTAATTTCTAATTCCTTCCTTGTCTCCTGAAATATTATTCACTCTTAAGTGTTTTACTTCTCATGCAGGCTACAAAATATATGCACTTTGTGGTCATCTTTGATTTTCACATCCCACATATCGGGCTGTGCCTGCCTGTTACTGCCACTTGCTCTGCAGGATTGCTTAGATCTGGCCTTTTATCTCTGTTTGCATATCTCCATTTCTTATCCCTAGACCCTTCCTTTCTTTCCTGCTCGTTGCTTATAAGCATCTCTTTACTGACTAGCCTGATACACGCACTGCTGCTGGTTGTCCATAAAGATGGTTTTGGCAGCTGCATTTTATTTGCCAGTTATTTCTGGTGAAATCCTCCTCTTTTCACATAAACTCTAGTTTATGCATGCTTCTTGAGATGACATTTTATATAACTCTGTCCTGATTATGTATCTGTATGCATCAAACTGTATCCTATGATTATTTTTGTTTCTGAAATAGCAAGATTTAGATCTGAAGAAATGGTGTTTTTTCCCTCTGGGGAGTTTTTTTTTTAGGCATTAAATAAGTTGCGATCTTCTTATTTGAAATTTATTTTTTTATTTAGGTATGCATTAACTTTTTAATTTCTGGTTAATTATTAATCCTTTTTCATTTCGATTTGATAAAT